GCTTTGCAATGATAGAAGATGGACGAAAATGCACTCTCCCTCCCTCGACCTCGATCTCGATCCCGAACCAGATTCGATCCCGAACCAGATTCGATCCCGAACCAGATTCTAAGCACTTAGTGACATAGTTCTTTACTTATTATTTTCTAATTATAATTAGATTTAATCTTTCTCTTGCACCTCCCCCTCTTCTCCTTTCATCATGATCACCTCCTTTGACCCTTTTGTCCTGACAAGTTCGATTTAGGCTAAAAGCATTACCCACTTTTGACATATCAGAGTCGAACGGGGAAAGCTTAGGATGATAAAGTTTTTAGTTTGGTAATAATCTTAATCCTACCTGTGTCGTAAGAATAGCAAAACTGGGGCAGATTAGCAACAGGACTCTATTTTAGGTAGGTGCTCATCAATACCATAGGCTTGCACTTAAGCTAACAGTCTTATGTTGGCAGAAAATATATCAATACATGGTCCAATAACTCAATCCCAATTCTTGGGATCTCTTGGCATCAACTTTCGTATCGAAGCCCTTCTACAAAACTGCACTGAAGAGCAAGCAGAGTCGTTAAGAACGGGCTACTGGAGATTAGTGGGAGATGGCGAAGCTCCATTTTGGGAGGGACCTGAGGAACAGACTCCTATCGGTATGGGCACTCGGTATCTAGCTATGGCGATTGTGAACAAAAAGCAAGGCACTCCAGTTCCATTTGAATGAAGCACAGAGAAAATACGTCTACTGCTTGTTTAGAAGGTAATTATTGACAAAGTCATGAGTTACGGAGGTGTTAAAAAAAAACTTTACTAAGTTATGTTTGTACTTCGTAGTTAGGCACCTGAATAAGCTTAATGTAATATTGGTGCAATTTTGATCTATATGGAGAATTTGGAAAACAATCGATAACCATAGAGTGATTCCAGTTTCCTTGGAATATACATGGATGGAAAATAAACGTGTTTGTAATATTAGTTCTCTTCTTGTTACATAGCACAATTTCTAATGTATTCGCTGTACTTGGTTTCCTTTTCTTTCTTTTTTATGTAATCTGGAAAAGGAAAACAATGCAGTAGGGATATGTAAATCTCTCTGTTTTGGTATAGAGATTAGAGATCCTGTTAGTGTGTTTGTGGATCTCAATGTTTGTGGCCAGGTGTTAGCACCATCTTTGGTGGGATTTGACTTATTAACATAATTTGCCCATTTGCATTGAATACGGTAGATCAAATGTAACCACATTGCCATAGGTTCAGGGTGAAGATTTTTGTGAATGCTCGGGATTCACAGAGTTTGTTTATACGTTTTCATGCTGAATAGCTCCATCCTAGAGTTACTATTTCTTTTGATTAACTACCATTGTGTTGTCTTTTATCTAGCAGGCATATAATATAACACGCGAAAGTTGTAAAGGCCTTCCAACGCTTTGGTTGGTTTCTTAAAAGCCTAAACAAGGGGAGGAATTCGTTTTTGATTCTTTCCACCCATTTCGTCAACAAAACCTATGAAATGAATTTCCTAAACTTTGGATCACATCACCTAATAAGAAGCAAGCAACACATCAGTTCTTTTTTTTTTATTTCAAGGCGTGCACCAAGAAAAGGAATAAATAACAAATGAGTTTCCTATAACTGTTTTTCTTGATTTTTTTTGCAAGCCAAACAGCCCCTTTGACTCTTCCATTTACAAGTAATAAAGGTAATTAAAACCCACAAATTAGGGTATTTTTGGTATTTTTGGTTAAATACTGTGATTAAGTATTTTTTTTTTGTTTATTTTCTTTTTAAAATTTGTTCCTTGGTTACCTTTTGATAATTTTTGCTCACTTTGATTAAATATTTTAGATTTATTTTCTTACTAAAATTTGTTCATCGATTACACTTTAATTATTTATTTATTTGATATTTGTTTGAATAGGCTACACCTAATTTAATTTTTTATAGTTGAATTGTCAGGAGATATATATAATCTAAAAGCAATTTAAATTTTTATTTTATCTGGATTGGCATGAAACCGAGCTTGACCTGAGGAAATATAGTGTTATGAAAGTGAAAACACTTGAAAAAAATAACATTATAAAAGGAAGATGAATAATAAAGCCAACGAGCCAAGATGATTGATTTAAAGTGGGCTAAAATGATAGAAAATAGTTAATAAAAAAATCATAAACTGAAGATTAATGCTAACTCTAGTACACTTTTATATGATAAAAGCATCCACATATGCATATGAAAGCACTAAAAACAGTTTATGAAAATCTCTTCTATAGATTCCTAATTTTACTAAAAAAATAAAACTATTTATTAACAATTCACAAAACATTATCTTTTGTTGCTTCTATTTATTTTTTATTGAGTCGAGATCAATCCTTTTTCATCTTTATCTTTTTCCTGGGCAATTCTAGAGTAGTGTTTTCATCGTCTACATCAATTGTGATATGAGACTGAAGCATGTTATCTTTCCTTGGACTTATTCATCTTTTGTCTTCTCGTCTAAATTCACAAAGAAGTTGAGTTTATTTTTTATGTTCAACACAAACTTCTGACAATACAGACTGATTTTTTTCCTATTTCAATAAAAATAAATGTTAATTTCATATATATGAAATTTTTTATGCTTTTAATTTATTACTTAAATAAGGTTAGGAGCTACCTCTTTTTTTCTCTGCAATGAATTCTTCTGTTGTGCATCTAATAAGAATTTATGCTGTGTCATAATGTTACCTTTGCTCTCTCTGTGTTTTTTTCCATGAGGATCTGAACTAAATACATTACATTTTTTATTGTCAATTTTCTTTTGATTATAATATAAATATTTAATTTTTGATATATTTATTTCACGAAGAAGGGATATCACTTAACGTTGGTACTACATCATCAGCGATTCTACAACATTTATCATCTGGATACTTATTATTAACATCTTTATCCACTTTTTTGTTACAGCCTTTGCAAACATAGAACCACTGCTCATCTCTATTATAAATAGTAGTTATCATTGCCTTAAAGGTGCAATAGTGTGTCTGTATATTGGTAAATTATTTTTAGGTTAAATTGTATGAATTTAGAGTGAGTTTTCTAAGATTAGACCTCTTTCGATTGTTATAATGGTTGTATATATTAGTAATTTGAATTTATGCTACATTTATAAAGAGCGCGCCTTAATGGAGATGCTTTTGCCTTAGCAACTTACTCTAAAAGAGCGTTGCATATTAGCTTTAAAATGTAATATTTTTTCTTTACGGTGTTATATGGATGTTTGCTTGGTTTACTTACTATTCTCTTATTTTTTCAGTAAGTTGTATCTTTGGATTGATATATATTATTGATGCAATTTACGATGACATGTATATCTCCTCTATAAATTTGAGACATATATAATGTGAATTTTATATTTAGTGGTCTTTAATAAGAATTTTAATAATGAAATATACTACCTTCATATTTAGAGATCTTGAATTCTAATAGTGCTATTACATAATTATCTTTGATCGTGTCTTTAAGAATTGATCATTTGTTAGTAGTCATACGCCTAAATAAAGTCACACGCAGGGATGTGATACTATATAAGAAAAAGAAAAAGAGTGATTTTATATTTTTTGCTTACACAAAGTCATGACATAGTAATTTTTCTTTTATCTTTCATGAAGAATGTTTCTTTGATTGGAGCAAAGTTGTTCAATATATTCTTCAAGGGGTATTCAGTCGGTGTTTCTTTGATAAATATAACTTATGTAGTGTTAATTGAAGTGATTCATGGACGTTCCGAATTTCATTTGAAATGAAAACCGCTTGATTCTTTTGAAAGATATCTCTAAAATTTCTAATAGTTATCCACACATAAATCTTTATAAAATTTTACCCTATAAATATTATTTCCATTAGAGATCAATATTTATAAATTATAATCAATTAATGTTAAGCTATTATATTATAGTTTTTTATCAGTTTTTTGCGATTTAGTCTTATGTATTTTTGTTGCTCTAACATATAGGTAAAATTATATGCAGTTACTTTAATTTATACAATAACATTAATTTTTAATCTATCATATATTTTTTAAAATTTTATTCTTTAACTGGATATTTTTAATCTGGTATTATTACTATCTTTTTTACCAGTATCAACTTGACTATTTTTAGATTCTGAAAATGAATAGTAAACCTTAAATTATAAGTTATATTTATATATCTTAATGAAAGAATATCACACAATTACTCTTTTCTTTGCCAAGTTCTAAATTTTCAGGTTTTTATTTTGTGTAATTTTAAACTTTTGAGAGTATTTCGGCTAATTTTTAAAACTTTTTGTTTTTTGTAATACTTCATGTAATAAACTGAGACTACAGAGCTGTTCATATATTTTATTAATCTTATTTAAATTGTTAAGCTATAGATAGTTTATGGGGTATTAGGATAGGATATAAGTATGATTAGGATAGATTATAATTTAAATTAAATATAAAATAGTATAGAGTAATTTTGACTATGGAAAGCTTTTTCCGAACTTGTGCTTTTAAAGGGTTTTTGTCTTCCTTAATTTTTCTTTTTTATAAATTTGAGAACGACTTTTGTCTCTTTAATTTGTTTGGTGGATTTTGTAAATATCTCATCCACATTATGTACATTTGTAGGTTTACGTTGTTCCCGGGTTCGACCTTTGGGCTAGACATTTTTTATCTCATTAATTTATTTGTTTTTTTACATATAAGCCATTCATTTTATAGACATTTATAAATTTGGTATTTAATAATTCTATTTAGATTTACATTTTAATTTAAACCGTATCATTATCTTCGTATTATGTGTATCCTTATCTTCAACTGATACCCTTGAACATTATTGTTGGATTTATTTTTGAAGATTCAACAAATGAATGAAAATTCCTACATTTGAGTTTTCTTAAAAAATAATAATAATAATAAAATGATAGTAAAAAGAGCCCATAAATGGTTTTAGTACATATGTTTTTTCCGCATAGATTTCCTATGCGGATTTTCTTCCCCACGAAGGATTTGCTGTCGAGAAAGAAACTTTTCTCATAAAATTTCTCATCTCTTCATGTTCTCTTCATTACACTCCACATAGAATACATATATCATATTTAAACAGGAACCCTGCTGCCTTTGTGACATCAAAATCAAAATCGGACCGCTGACGAGATCCAGATCTCAGATCGCCGACGAAATCGAAGGAAACTGCTGTCGTAATCTGGATCAAAATCGATCGTTTAATGGAGACCGACGAGATCCATGCTCCTCCTTCGCTCTCTCGTGATCGAGGATTCGAATAGTTGGAATAAAAAAAATGATGTTTTGGAGAGAGAGGGAGAGGGATACGAGAGATCATAACGGCACTGTTCCTCTCTGCGGCCAAGTCCGAGTCTTGGTCGTCGGAGATTCTGGTACTCTAATTTTGGTTATTCTTATTATTACGGTTTGAATCATGAAAATTTGGTAGGTTTCTCTGTTTATCCTGATTTTAGTATTTAGGTAGTTGATTTTGTTGATATACGTCGATTCCTATTACAAGTTTGTGCATTTTTTGAATGCGTAACGTGATTGTTTTTTTAATTTATTGAAGTAATTTTTCGGTAAATAAGTGTTAGAGGATTGTAGGGTGTAAGGAGACATAAAAATATTACTCAAAAACAATTCTAGGTTTGCCTAGGAATTGCTTTTGATGAATTTTAGAGAATTTTTCGGTAAATAAGTGTTAGAGGATTGTAGGAGTCCTGATATTAAGGACATAAATTAAAAAAATTGGATATTTGAAGAATCAATTGTCTTTATGCCCTTCTGGTCTGCTTCCCAAATGAGCTCTAAATAAGACAGGTAACTTTTGTCCCTAAATCGAATTAAGTTATGCTGAAATTGTGAACTCTCTTGTCATGTTCAATGCATTTACCAACTCTCCTTAAATTCTCTTTCGAAGCTCAATATAGTTATTACATAAGCGAGCAATACTATAAACGTTGTAAGCTTCTTTGGGCTTTTCCTTTGGGATAAGAACCTTAGTGCCTGTGCGCGAATTTCATCGCATATGATGGCCCTTTGTATGTATAAGGGGCTGTTGCACTATGGTATGTTACTATGTTTTTTGGGAGATTTCTCTTGTTTTATATCTTAGAGTAAACACATTTATATGTCAACTATTTTTAAATAATTTAAACCAATCTTCTTGCAGGTGTAGGTAAAACATCACTGGTGCACTTGATTCTTAAAGGTTCTGCCATTGCTCGTCCTCCACAAACAATTGGATGTTCAGTTGGTGTTAAAGTAAGAATGTTAATACTTTTTTCTTTTAAATGGAGTTGTTATCGCAATTAGTAGTCTTGTTGTGATGTTCTTAGTTTTACTGTCTTCACTCTTCAGCATATTACTCATGGAAGTGGTGGAAGCTCTTCTAATAGCATAAAAGGTGATGCTGAAAGGGACTTCTTTGTTGAACTATGGGATATCCCAGGACACGAGAGGTACAAGGATTGTCGGTCACTTTTCTATACACAAATAAATGGTAAGAAATATTCTAAATTATGTGCTAATCTTAGGGGGTGTTTGGTTCAATTTCTACAAATTATAGGAAATGTTTTCCACCCAAAATATGATTTCCTTGTATTTCTTAAAAAAATTATAAGAAAAGTTTTGAGAAGTCAAAAAGTACCAGTTTTCTTTTTTTTTTTACTTTGCTTGTTTGGTTCAAAACAAGAAAATGACCCATAACTTTATAGAAAATAGCAAGATTTTCTATAATTTATAGAAATTGAACCAAACACCCCTAAATTTATAGAAAAGTGTCAACTTTATAGAAAAGTGTCAATGTGGTGTCAGGTTTCTGGGTGATTTCCGCCCATTTTGAGAGAAAATTGTTTTTTGTAAATTTTGATATTTTTTTGTACTTTACAAAAAATATTTCTGTAATTTTTTTTGAACCAAACACAGTTTACAGAAATCTACAGAAAATTTTTAATTACAGAATTACCATTGTCAGACATTTTGAGAAAACTTTTCTATAAAACTGTGCAACCAAACACACCCTTAGGTAATTCTGTTTTAAGCTTTCCTTACTTAAACACTTACTTAATCTTAAGTAATTCTGTTTTAAGATTTCCTTACTTAAGTGATTCTTTTTTAAGCTTTCCTTACTTACTTAATATATTGCCAGCTTGCCTAAATTATAATAGTTGTTCTCTTTCTTTTATCATATAAAAGAATCAAATGGGTTATGTTTAATTTGCTTATTTTGGAATTAAATCTTGTTGGATCCGAAAGTCTGCTAGTGCGAAGTCAGCAATTCAATTGATTTCACTATGTTTGTTCTTGTTACAACATAAAAATATAAACCTCAGCTCACAATTTTTGGAGTTTTGGTGTAATGGTTAGAGGGACTTAATTTAAGATGGTGTTAGAGCCACCAAACTTCAAAGTTCAAATCCCACCGGCCACAAATTTAAAGTGGATTTTTTAAAAAAATTGACATCACTGCGTGAGTCCAGGTTTTGACCCATGAAAAGGGTGCTCAACCTACGGGGGCATTGTTAGAATAAAAAAGAATATAAACCTCAGCTCTCACCATAACTTCGGAAAAAATATAAAGTTCAGCTCTCACCATAACTTCGGAGTTTTGGCGTATGGTTAGAGGGACTTGATCTAATAGTTTTCTAAAATAGTGCTTTCCCCTTCGTTTTCTTTATATGCCGAATCTAAAGTTTTCATGTTATTTACAATTCATATTAATTTCACAGCTGGAGTATGGGGAGTGATCAATGCATGCGTATGTAGGACAATTGTATCTTCAGAAAGGACAAGAGACAATAGAGGGAGAGGTTGACTAGAGTATGTCATGAGCGCACAATGTGAATTTCCCACATTAGAAATGCACAAGGTGTTTGGTGTATGATGATTTCATAAATCAACTACTCATAGTTACAACTCTAACAAGAGGAATTGGGGTAACTGCTCTATAGTGAAGTGCCTGAGCGAGACTAATATGATGGATGACTTCTATGGATGGGCTTGTTTGAAGTGTTAAATGTTTAATCTCTGATAGCTCATTTCCGAGTGATTTGTCAAGTACCTTGTTTTTATTTTGAATGATGTCTGATGAGTTCTTCTGCTATGCATAACCATTAAGTACATAAGCAGTTCCATTTTAATATTTCCTCAATGACCTTTATTTACTCTTTTTTGTATGACTTGAGAAACCACAATCCATATAAGACTTTCACTGGTCGTTTTCAGTAAACTTTTATCTTAAATATTGTCAGGCAAGTCCGTTTATCGTGCATAAGCATAAAGCATATAATCAGTTTGATTTCATTATTTTTCCAGACAAGTTCCTTATTTACTTTTTTTCATGTCTAGGTGTTATATTTGTCCATGATCTCTCCCAGAGAAGGACGAAGACAAGTTTGCAAAAGTGGGCGACGGAAATTGCAACAACTGGGACATTTTCAGCTCCTCTTTCTTCTGGTGGACCTGGTGGTCTTCCTGTTCCTTACCTTGTTATTGGGAACAAAGTTGATATTGCTGCCAAAGAAGGGACAAGGGGAAGCAGTGGCAATCTTGTTGATGTTGCACGACAATGGGTTGAGAAGCAAGGCCTGCTTCCATCCAGTGAAGAACTTCCTTTGACAGCAACCTTTGGCAGCACTGGTCTCATTGCGGTAGGAAATGCATCTTCATTACATGTTTGCAGTGCATACCATTATGCATAAAAGCAGTTCTTAAGTATTGTTCATGTGTGATGTTTAATGTACTGCATTGCTCTAATCTGGAAGCCTGTTATCATTCTAGATGGGTTTTGTCTGCTAATGTGTGGTATCTTTGTTGCAATTGTAAGTATCATGTGATTATTTTACTTCTAGTAGCATGTGAAGGTCTGTTTGGACTTTGTCTTTGCCAGTATAAGAATGAGCTTTTACCCATCAAGATGAGGCTGGCTATAAAGGCTCAAAGACAGCTTAAACAAATGTTTTGATTGGCTGACAACTGAACATTAATTCTCTTAAGTTGCTGACTACTTAGGTTGCAATATTCTTCTGGGTGATCTAATTTGGTTTATCGACAGCATCTAGACTAGCTTCAAGAAAAGCAATTTTCTTTTTTAAAATGAGAACCTTACACGTTTATGCATCCAGGGTTCCAAGCATACACAGTTTAATATTTATCATGAAATGTTATGTTCATTGAGAACAGTAGCAGGTGCTGGAAGTGATTATTTTAACTTTAATTTGTGTCTGGTGCAAGGCACTAGTTATATCGATCTACAATTTACATATCCCCACATTTGAACTTGCTTATAGGTCGTGTCTCACAGATGAATGCATAAAGTCATGATGTATAAGTGACTGGATGTCCCTGTAGGATTCATGGTTTGACATTCTTGGAATAAGGATCATGGTTTGAAAGTATCTGAATCAGTGACTAGATGGCACCATGTGGATTTACAGTATATATGGCTTTATAGGAAGGAAGCATGGACTATGTGACCAGAGGATAGCCACTAAAATTTGGAACTGGAAATGTTTTCACAGCATAATATAACATCAATCAAGACAACTATCAAGTACACTGCTTTCCTACATACTATAGTTTTTTCCCCTTAATTAACTCAAGTATCGTATGCTGTCTGTATTTGTGCAATTTATGCTTGAGGTAACCATACTCCATGGTAGTTTTCTACCAATTCCTTTTGTCTGCAAGGCCCTTTTTATCCAAGATATAATGTTTCTTCAGATGGTGTATAATTTATTATCTGCCACTGAAACAAATAACACATTCATTTGTCATCTGGACTGCATTATAATGATATTTTCATGCTATTTCTTGGTTTGGTTTTGAGGATTGAATCAATATTCAGTTCCTCTAATATTCTTGTGTTATTTATGTTTTTTTTATGTCAAATGATGGCAGGCTGCCAAAGAAGCACGATATGACAAGGAAGCTGTTACGAAGTTCTTTCGTATGGTGTGTATCATTCCTACCATGTTCTTTCTGGACAAGATCTCCTTTTGTTTCTAATAAATGTGGTGCTTGTTTGTCCAGCTGATTAGTAGAAGGTATTTCTCTGATGACCAACCTGCACCAAATACATGGTTGACACCTTCGCTGCAGAATTCTGTGCATCAATCTAGTGATAGTTTAATTGAAGATGATCAATATAACAGCAGATTGAGGTAAGTTTAATTGAACTAATAAAATTTGCATTTTTATATAAACATAATAAATTTGCATTCGTTGAGACGAACAAGTAAAAATTTGTGGCTTATAGTACATGAAAATTACTAATTTTGATTTACACATAAATTTGCATTCGTTCGGAATGGATAAAAATTTACAAGAACATATGGGTTATAACTCATGGAAATCACAAATTTCAATGTACACATAATAAATCTGCATTCATTAAAAAACAAAAATTAATAGAAATCACGCGTTATAAGCTTATGGAAATCATAAATTTTGATGTACACAATAAATTTGCATTCATTCGATATGAATGAAAATTGTCAAAAATTGTGAATTATATGTAATGAATTTTGTGAATTTTGATGTATACATAATAAAGTTGCATTTATTCGAAATAAACAAAAGTTGAGAAAAAAAAATCATGGGTTATAGCCCATAAAAATTGTGAATTTTAATGTATAGACAATTAAATTATATTTGTTCAAAGCGAACCAAAAAGACAGAAGAGGTGAATTATAGCTCATGAAAAATTGTATGTACATATAATAGATGGAAAATATGATTTTGGGGACACTTTACATTGAACCTAATAATGCACCTTTCTACACATAGATTAGGCTATTCCAATAGATGATCCACTCCATTCATCATGATTTAAACATCTCAAAATATCTGTGAAACAAAAAATACGATGTTTCAAAACTTCTAGCACATAGTTCTCATTGTCTCTTTAGTTGTATTGTCTTAAAACTATTAATTTGTCAGTCACTTGATGTATGAGTAACTACCACTCAATATGTTTAGTTTTTTTTGTTTATGTATCATTCAAAACATATCGATCAAAATGAACGGAGTGGATCAAGTAAATTAATTGTACATAATGTAGTTTGAAGGTATGTCCTTAGATTGAACCTAAGGTGCTTCCTTAGTATCATTTATCCCATAATAAATTTGTATTTGTTGGAAGCAAATATACATTGATAAATATCATAGATTATAGTATATGAAAATCATGAATTTAGATCTACAAAATAATTTTTTTATGCATTTGAAACAATACAAAATTTGACAAAAATTATGGTTATAGCTTATGAAAATCGTAAATTTTGATATACACAGAATAAATTTGCATTCGTTCGAACAAAAAATGAGAAAAATCGTGGTCACAACTTTTGAAAATAAAGAATTTTGATGTACACATAATAAATTTTTATTTGTTTAAAACAAAAAAAAATTGACAAAAATTGTGGCCTATAGCTTATGCAAATTTTAGTGTATGCATTGCATTCGTTTGAAACAAACAGAAAAAATTGACAAAAATGGTGGGTTATAGCACATGACAATTGCAAATTTTGATGTATAAATAATTAATTTAAATTAGTTTAAAACAAATCAAAGTAGACAAAAATGGTGGGTTATAGACCATGAAAGTCTAATTTTGATTTAAAGATAATTAGTTTACATTTTTTTAAAACAAATCAAAATTGACTAATATTGTGGGTTATAGATCATGAAAATTGCAAATTTTCATGTACATTTAATAAATTTGTATTTGTCCGAAAAGAAAAGATTGTAACGACTTGTACGTTATAGCTCATGAAAATCGTGAATTTTAATGCACGTATGATAAAATTACATTTGTTCAAAACAAACAAAATTTGATAAAACTGTGGGTTATCTTATGAAAATCATAAATTTGGGATAATTAATTTACATTTGTTATAAACAAACCAAACTAAACAAAAATTATTGAGTATATCTCATGAAAATCACAAGTTAATGTATGCAAAATAAATTTGCAGACATTCGGAATAAACAAAAACTGTAACAGTGATTGCTCATGGAAATTGTGAATTTTAATATACACATAATAAATATGTATTTACTCAAAACGAACAAAACCAGATAAAACTCGTGGATCATGAAAATCATAAAGTTTAACATACACAATAAATTTGCTGTTATTTGAAATGAACAGAAATTGTAAGGTTATAGCTCATGAAAATCATGAATTTTTATGTATACATAATAAATTTATAGTGGTTCGAAATGAGTGAAAATTAACAAAAATCGTAGGTTATAGCTTATGAAAATGACGAATTTGATGTAAAGACAAGTAATTTATTTTCCTTCAAAACAAGAAAATGGACAAAAACCTTATTTCATAGCTCATGTAAATCGTCAATTTTGATGGACAAATAATACATTTGCATGCTCTCTTGTTATTTTCTTTTTGGTGAAGAGGTTCAAAGTTATATACATGTAGCTTGCCTGCTCCTTTGTATTATTTTCATTTTTTTCTATTATTTTGTATTTACGGTAGCATAACGTCGTGTCGAACAAAAATTGAAAAAGGTCATGGGGGTATAGCTTATGAAAATAGCAAATTCTAATGTACATGCAATTAATTTACATTCATGTAAAACAAACCTAAATTGATTAAAATTGTGGGTTAGCTCATAAAAATCGCATCATTCGAAACGATGAAAAAGTATAACAAATTGATGTTTATAAAATGAATAAAAATCGTGAATTTGGATGTATAGAAAATTAATTTGCATTCATTCAAAATGAATAAAAATTAACAAAAAGTCATGGTTATAGCTCATGAAAATCGTAAATTATAATGTATAGAAAATTAATATACATTTGTTTAAAATAATCCAAACTTGACAAAAATAGTGGGTTATATCTCATGAAATCACAAAATTTGATGTACGCAATAATTTGTATTTTGTTCAAACATATCAAAATTAATAAAACATGTGGGTTATAGTTCATGAAAAACACAAATTTTAATGTACACAATAAATTTATTGTCATTCAAATTATAACAAAAATTGATGTACACATAATTATTTTGTAATTGTTTAAAAAACTAAAATTGACACGGGTTAAGCTCGTGAAAATAAATTTTTTTATGTATACAATAAATTCATGTTCATTCAAAACAAACCAAAATTGATAAAAGTCCTGGGTTGTAGATCATAAAAATCATTAATTTTAAGAAACACAACATTTTCACTTATTTAAAACGAAATAAATTTGTAACAAACTGTGGATTATAGCTCATGAAAATCATGAATTTTATGTATGCATAATAAATATGCATTCGTTTCAAACAAGCAAAAATTAACAAAAAATCATTGGTTATAACCCATGAAAATCACAAATTTTGATGTATAGACAATTAGTTTACATTTGTTTATAACAAATTAAAGTTGAAAAATCATGTACGTCAATATTTATTATAATCAACTATCCATCTAAACGAACAAGTAGAAAACCGTGGCTCGTAGCTTATGAAAATTTAAAATTTGATTACACAAGTTTAAATTCATTCGAAATAAATATTACAAAAATTGTGTGTGATAGCTTATGAAAAACACAAATGATGATGTACACATAATAAATTTGCATTCATTGAGAATGAACGAGAATGAACAAAAATCGTTAATTATAGCTAATGGAATCATAAATTTTGATGTATAGACTATGAATTTGCATTCTTTTAAAATGAATAAAAATAGACAAAAATCGTGGGCTATACATGGTGAAAATTATAAATTTTAATGTACACATAATACATTTGAATTCGTTCAATATGAATAAAAATTGTCAATTTGTGGGTTATAGATCTTAGAACATGAAAATCATGAATTTTGATGTACACATAATAACGTTGATACGTTCGAAACGAACACATTAACAAAAATTATGAGTTATAGGCCATGAGAATTGCGAATTCTAATGTATCAACAATTAAATTATATCTTTTCAATACAAACCAAAAAGACAAAAGATGTGGGTTATCGCTCATGAGTAACGTGAATTTTAATATACATATAATAAATTTACAAAATAAAAATTGATAAAACCTTAAATTATAGCTAATGAAAATAACAAATTTTGATGTGCACATAATAATTTTTTATTTGTTTGAAACGAACAAAAATTGACAAAAATCATGTTTATAGCACATGAAAACAGCAAAATTTGATGTACACAACTTGCATTCGTTCAAAAAGGACACAAATTAACAAAAATTGAGGATTATAGCTTATGAAAATCACAAAGTTTGATGTGCTCATAATAAGTTTGCATTCATTGTAAATGAGCAAAAATTGACAAAAATGATTAAAAAAATGATGTGTTATAACTCATGAAAATCGCAAATTTAGATGTATAAATAATTTTAAAAAACCTAAATTTACGAAAAGGTGGGTTATGGATCATAAACAATGTGAATTTTGATGTACATGTAATAATTTTGCATTCATTCAAAACGTGCAAAAATCCAAAAAATCATTGGTTATAGCCCATTAAAATTGTGAATATTGTTGTGCATGTAATAAATTTGCTTTTGTTAGAAATAAATAAAAATGAACAAAAATCTTAGCCTGAGAAAATTATGAATTTTGACGTATTCACATAATAAATTTGTATTTGCTTAAAATGAAGAAAAATTAACAAAAATCATGGATTATAGCTCATAAAAGTTTATCAAAAATCTTGGACTATTCCTCAGAAAAGTTGTAAATTTTAATGTACAAATAATTAATTTACAATCGTTTAAAATAAACTAAAATTGACAAAATTGTGGAGTATAGCTCATGAAAATAACAAATTCTAATATATAGACAATTAATTTATTTTCATTTAAAACAAACTAAAATTGATAAACATCGTGTTTTTCATGAACGAACAAAAACTAATGTATAGACAAATTTTAATGTACACAGTAAATTTGAAGTCATTCAAAACGAACAAAAACTATAAGAAATCAATCGTTGTAGAGCATGGAAATCATGAATTTTGATGTATACGTTATAAATTTGCATTTGTTCAAAATGAACAAGAATTAACGAAAATCGTTGGTTGTTGCTCATTAAAATCTCATATTTTGATATGTCGACAATTTTTATTATCGTTTAAAACGAACCAAAATTGTCAAATATCGTGAATTATAGTTCATGAAATCGCTAATTTAAAGGTATACATAAATTTGCAGTTAGTCGAAACGAAAAAAAAATTACAACAAATCATGGCATATAGTTCATGAAAATCATAAATTTTGATGTAGACATAATTAATTTATATTCATTCAAAACGACCATAAATTGATAGAAATCGCGACCTATAGCTCCTAAAATCGCAAGTTTTGATGTATAGACAATTAATTTACATTCTCTCAAAACACACTAAAATTGACAAAAATCATGAGTTATAGAACATGAAAATTTTGAATTCTCAAGTATGCATAATAAATTGGCCTCGGTTTGATATGAACAAAAAATTATTGTAAATCATGGGTTATATCTCATGAAAATTGTGAATTTAGATGTACACAGAAGAAATTTGCTTTCTTTTCAAAACAAACTAAAATTGATAAAAATCGTGGATTTTAGATAATGAAAATTGTGAATTTTATTGTATAGACAACTAATTTACTTTCTTTTAAAATAAAGCAAAATTGATAAAAATCACAAACTTTCATGTACACAATAAATTTGCATTCATTCGTAATGAATAAAATATAATAAACCGTGGGCTATATCTCATGAAAATCTTAAATTAAGATGTGCACATAATAAATTTTACTTTCATTCAAAATGTACAAAAATTGTCAAAAATCACGGATTATAGTTCATAAAATTTTTGAATTTAGATGTACACATAATAAATTTTACATTCATTCAAAATGTATAAAAATTATCAAAAATTATGAGTTATAGTTCATAAAAACTGTGAATTTTGATGTACACGTAATAAATTTGTATTAGTTCAAAACGAAAAATTTGACAAGAACCATGAGTTATAGCCCAGGAACATTGTGAAGTTTGATGTATTGATAATTAATTTTACATTCATTCAAAATAAATCAAAAATGATAGAAATCATGATTTATAGCTCATTGAAAATCGTAAGTTTTGATGTACAAATAACAAATTTGTATTCAATAAAAAAAAAAGAAAAATTAACAAAAATCGTGGGTTATAGCTTATGAAAATTGCAAATTGTAATGTGCAGACCATTTACTTATGTTTGTTTAAAACAAACTAAAATTAATAAAAATCGTAGTTTGTAGCTCATAAAAATTGCAAATTTTAATGTACATATAGTAAATTTGAAGTCAGTCGGAATAAACAAAAACTATAACAAATCAATGGTTATAGCTTATGAAAATCATGAATTTTGATGTATGGACAATTAATTTCCATTCGTCCAAAACAAATAAAAATTAATAAAAATCGTGAGTTATAGCTCATGAAATCGCAAATTTTAGTGTAAAGACAACTACTTTACATTTATTTAAAGAAACCAAACTTGAAAAAAAAATTGTGGGTTATCTCATGAAATCACAAATTTTAATGTATACAATAATTTGCGTTTGTTCAAACATATACCAGCATTGACAAAAATTGTTTATACACATAATTAATTTGTAGTCATCTGAAACGAAAAATGTCTTTTGACAAATAGACCTGTTAAGGGTAAAAGGAAAAAAAAAATTCACTAAGGAGGTCTGTTTGCAACATAGAACTGCAGTGGTCTATCCCCAGTTAGACGATAGCACAGGAGGTCGATAAATCGACAATCAACCCTAGTTAGAATAGTGAATCGTTTCGTGCCTTGAAGCTGAAGATGTCCATTTACCTGGATGATTTCTGATATCATTTTTATCTGTCATGGCAGTTTAGGTAGTGACGCATACAAGTACAACGCGGTGCCCCCACTTCCAGCTCAGCGGAACCTCACTCCACCAACTACACTCTATCCTCAGCAGCCATTTTCAGTCTCTGACAACTACAGTTTTCAGAGGCTCTCATCCTCTGGATTGTCAGAAATAGGAAGCACCAGATCAAAGCGATCCGATATCAATGTGTGATGCAATTAAATTTGCGGACATTTCTGCTTTGTCCTGGCTTTCACGCGACATGTATCCATGAAAACAATTCTAGCAGCTAATTGCATTTAAGAGCTGATTGGGGAAGCTGTGATCTCACAGTGCAATGTTTTTTTTGTGATTGTGAAAATTGGCGTTTTGTTTGTTGCAATACATGATAATTTTGTATTTTTTTGATTGTCACATTACTTATATAGTGATATATAAATCATTCTGGAGCATCCAAACAGTTTTTTCTAATTTTACTTGCTTGAAATTTGTGGGGCCAAAAGCAGAGCAGTGGTATGTAATATGTATGCTGATCTGAGCCTGACAATTTGTTGTACTCTTGGTCTAACTATTTTATTATTGCAGAAGTTTGAAATTGCACGTTAAATTCGTCCGTCAACTGAAGTGTGATTCTTTTCCGTTGTAAGATATTTTTCCAGTTCCTCTTGCCAATGTACGCTCACTTCAATGGTGTACTGCAAAATCCATGCTTTTTATTTGCAATACAACTGAACATGGTGATTTGCATCATAAATATTGTAACAAGAAAAGGTTTCACTAATGCTTATACTATCTTCGTGTTGCATTGCCATTTAGCGTGGAGCTCCTAATTGTTCTTCATTACGAAACATGTTCAGTTCACAAAGGCTACAATATTGAGTTTAAACTTCGAAGATAAATCTGACATCGACTTCCTTAGAGCAGCTCAATTTCTTCCGTAAAAAGCTGAAAACACCTTGTGCTTATTTCATTTATGGAAAAAGAATGCCTTCTGCCGGACGATTATAAGGTTAAAATTAAATAGTGTATCATACATTAAACCTTATCAAATGACTATAGATTGCTAGTTAACGGTAGAGGTTGAAGAGCTTAAAAGTAACACAATCATAATAAATTTGCATTCGTTTGATGTACAGTACAGAAATCATGGGTTATAAGCCTTGAAAATTGTGAGTTTTGATCTACACATAATAAATTTGTAACGTTCAAGATGAACAAAAATTAACAAAAATCGCGAATCATAGCCGATGAAAATCATGGATAGCTCTTGAAATCACGGATTTAACATTATTTACTAACGGATCAAAACAACTTAAAATGACCAACGGATCAAAACAACTAAAAATGACCAAAAACAATGGGTTGTAGCTCATGAAATCGTAAATTTTCGCATTCGCTAATTTTTTTGCTAAAGGGTCGAAAGAACTAATTATGTCCAAAATTCGTAAGTTATTCCTTAGCAAATCTTGAATTATTTACCAACGGATCAAAACAACTAAAAATGACCAAAAACAATGGGTGTAGCTCATGAAATCATAAAATTTCGCCTTCGCGAAATTCCTTGCTAAAGGGTTGAAAGGACTAAATATGGCCAACATTCGTAAGTCATTCCTCAACAAATCTTGAATTTTTGCCACCGTGAAATTATTTGACAATAGGTTGAAACGACTAAAAATGGCAAAAAATACGGGTTATTGGAAATCATGAGTATTTACTAATGACTAAAAACGACTAAAAATAGCCAAAAATCTTTAGTTATATTTCATGAAATCAAGGAAATTTGGCATTGCGAAATTATTTGATAATGGATCAAAATGACTAACAAGGTAAAAAATCATGGGTTAGCTCATAAAATTATGAATTTTTGACTTAGCAAAATTATTTGCTAATAGATTGAAACAACTAAAAATTACCAAAAACCATGGGTTATAACTCACGGAATCATGAAATTTTAACACCAAAAAATTATTTGACAATTGGTTAAAATGACAAAAAATGACCAAAAATGGTAAGTTATAGTTCAGGGAATACTGAATTTTAGCATTTGAGAAATTATTTACATATGGGTTGAAGCAACTAAAAATGGCCAAAAATCATGGGTTATAGCTCATGAATTCATTAATTTTGTTAAATTTTTTGCTAATGGGTCAAAATGACTGAAAATAGCCAAATATCATGGGTTGTAGCTTATGAAATCACAAATTCATGAAGTTTGAACTCAACAAAATTATAGCTAACGAGTTGAAATGACTAAAAATAGCAAAAAAATTATTAGTTATAATCCATGAAGTCCTGAAATTTGGCCTCTATAAAATTATTTGCCAACGGTCAAAATGACTAGCAATGGCAAAAAATTGTGGGTTATAACTTATGAAATCATGAATTTCAGACTCCACAAAATTATTTAACAATGAGTCAAAATGACTAAAAATGGTAAAAATCTTGGTTATAGCTCATGAAGTTGTAAATTTTGGTCTCCTTGAAATTAATGTACAACAGTGAAAATGACTAAAAATGGCAAAAAATTATGGGTTATACCTTATAAAATCGTGAATTTCGAACTTCACAAAATTATTTATTAAAAAGCCGAAATGACTAAAAATGACCAAAAATAATGGGTTATATCACATGTAGTCATGGATTTTGGCTACCGTGAAATTAGATGCTAATAGGTCGAAATGACTAAAAGTGGCCAAAAATTGTGAGTTAGAGCTAATAAAACCGTGAATTTTGGCCTTAGTGAAATTATTTTCCAACGGGTCAAAAGGATTAAAAATGGTAAAAAATAGTGGGTAATGGTCATAAAATCGTGAATTTTGGCCTATGCGAAATTAATTCCTAATAAGTCAAAATTACTAAAACTGAAAAAAGGTGCGTTATATCTCATAAAATCATAAATTTTAACCTCTAAGAAATTATTTGCTAACAGGTTGAAAATACTAAAAATGGCCAAAAATCATAAGCTCACGAAATCGTAAATTTTAGCCTCCACGAAATTATTTGCCAATGGATCGAAATAACTAATAATGACCAATAATCTGGGTTATATCTCATAAAATTCTGAACTTTAGACTATACCAAATTATTTCCCAATAGTTTAAAATGATTAAAAATGGCCAATAATGATGAATTAACTCATGCGATCGCTACTTTGCTATTCACAAAATTGCTTTCCTCGGGATCTAAATGACTAAAAGTAGCTAAAAATCTTAGGTGCTTAGGTAATCATGAATTTTGGACTCTGCAAAATTATTTACTAACTGGTCGAAACGACTAAAAATGACCAAAAATTATGGGTTATAGCCCACAAAATTGTGAATTTTAACCTCTACAAAATTTTTTTTCCAATGGCTCAAAATGACTAAAAATTACCAAAAATTATGAGTTATAGCTCATGAAAGTGCGAGTTTTAGTCTCCATGGAATTATGTGTGAATGTGTCGAGTCGAATAAAAATGGCCAAAAAATCATGGGTATAGTTCATAAAATCGTGAATTTTTGCCTCCTGGAAATTATCTTACAATGGATGAAAATGACAAAAATAGCCAAATATCATGTATTATAGCTCATGAAATTGGAAATTTTGGCATCCACAAAATTATTTTTCAATAGGTCAAAATGACTGAAAATTATGAGTTACAGCTCATGAATCCTGAATTTTCAACACCACAACATTATTTGCCAATACTCTAACGACTAAAAATTACCAAAATTCATGGATTTTATGTAAAAACAAGATTTTTTCCACCACAAAATTATTTGACAATTGGTCAAAACGACTAAAAATGGCCAAAAATTATGGGCTGTAGCTTAAGAAATCATGAAATTTGGCCTCCGTAAAATTATTTACCGATAGGTCGAAACAATTAAAAAGGGCCAAAATTATGGGTCATAGCTAGGGGTGAGCACGGTTCGGATCGGGTCGGTTTTTACCAAAATTTGAACAACCGAACCGAACCACCTATAATTCAAAACCGAACCGAACCGTTGCAAATCGGTTCGGTGCGGTTCGGTTCGGTTTGTTCGGTTCTAACTTTCATCAAGTATAACAATCAAATACACAAATATTGCTTGTCCCAAGAGATAATTTGTATATATTTGTTTTCATATGCGCCCAAATGCAAATCATTTGAGCCACGGCTAAGATACTTAAGCATCGTGCACACTTGAATCAACAACTAACCCAAGGGACAACATACACAGAAGTGCTGAATTGAGTGATTAAATGGGGAAAATCCAACTCAAAGGGCACTAACATACTCCAACAAGAAGCGCCCATTCCACCTACTTCATGTTCAATTCAAAGACAACAACAGAGGAAATTGAAGAAAAATTAATACTATGTACCTTGAGAGTAAGGGCCGGGGTCTTGGAAGGAGAGAGAGAGCGAGAGAGAGGGATTGAGGCCGAGCGAAATGGGAACTTGGGAATGAGTAGCGGCGGATGGGATTTGGGAATGAGAGGAAATGAAGTTAGGGTTGAGGGTTTGGACGGGTCGGGTAAACGCGAACGGGTTTGAAAGTTTTGAGAATATATTCGGTCGGTTCGGGTTGGGTCGGTTTAAAAAGTTGTCAACCCGACCCGAACCGCCTTACTCTTAAAACCGCTTTTTTCGGGTCGGTTCGGGTCGGTTCGGTCGGTTTTTTTGGTTTGAACCGAACCATGCTCAGCCCTAGTCATAGCTAATGAAATCGTGATATTTGGCCTCTGTGAAATTATTTGTCAATAGGTCAAAATGACTAAAAATGCCAAAAATCGTGGGTTATAGCTTATGAAATCATGAAATAGTTTGGACTCTAAGAAATTATCATCAATGAGTCAAAACAACTAAAAATAGTAAAAAATCATGCTTATGACCCACAAAATTATGAATTTTAGCATCCATAAAATTATTTGCTAGTGAATCAAAACAATTAGAAGTGGCAAAAAGTAATGTGTTATGCTTATGAAATCATGAGTCTCAGACTCCACAAAATTATTTACAAATGGGTCGAAATGACTAAAAATGACTAAAAATCATGGGTTATGGCTAAAAAACATGGGTATAACTAATGAAATTGTGAAATTTAGCATCTGTGAAATTATTATCAAATGGGTCAAAACAAATAAAAATGGCCAAAAATCATGTGTTATATCTTATTATGAATTTTGAATTCCTTAAAATTATTTATGAAAGGGGGCGAAATATCTAAAATGGTGAAAATCATGAATTATAGCTCATAAAATTGTGAATTTTGGCAATTGAATTTTAGTCAACGAGTTGAAATGACGAAAAAGGGCAAATAATTATGGGTTTATAGTGCATGAGATCAAAAATCGTGAATTCTAGCTACAATGAATTTTAGTTAACGGGTTGAGATGACAAAAAAGGGAAAAACATTATGGGTTTATAGTCCATGAGATCGAGAATTTTGTCCTCCTCAAAATTATTTCTAAGGAGTCGAAATGACTAAAAATGGTTAAAAATCGTGG